TGGTGTGAGGATGTTTACTAACTCACTAATATTGTTAAGAAGTTCATGATGATTGCTGTATGATATGGACCAGGTTGATCTAAGCTGACTTAGGTGGCGACTTTTGATACATGGTTGAGTGAGACATAGGCATGGAGTGATGTGTTTGTTGTTTATATCCAAAATATGATGTATACCACTCATCATTGGGCGTATTATAGCGTTACTTCTGGTTTTAATAAAGTTGAGATTGTTGTTTTCGATATAGCACCAAAACTTTGGTTTTGGATTAGAAAGAGGCAGAGTGTTTCCCTGGATTGGAGATATAGTATTCGTGAGGTTTGTAAACCAGTTCGGTATTGGCCCTTTGGTTATGAAGCCTTTATGGGTATGTAATTCTTTCCAAGTGAGCTTGGAGGAACTATTGAAAACCAATATATCGTGAAGAGTTTTGATATTATAGTGGTAAAGGGATAAGGCGGTTTTTTTGTTTAAATTGGTGATGCGGCCTATTGATAATTCGTGACTCTTCATGCTGAGAGAGCATGGAGAGGAACATAGGTTAATTTTGAATTTGATAGCAACACTGGCTGCTTGTGTAATCCATGAGAATTTAAAAAGGGTGGGGTGACATATTGGGCATGACCATATTGCGTGTGAAGCTTGTATTGATCTAATTTCCTATATCGTTATTTGGTATGTTATTGGATTGGCAAGCCTTGATGCCAATAATTTAACTGCTGTTAGGTCTCTTCTGTTTTGTAGTTTTATGATATCAAGTCCAGCTTTGGAATGAAGGATTCTGTTGGAAATTGTACATTCAACACCTAGTTTTGACTTAATAGCTTTGTTAAGTTTGGCTTGAAGAAAACTGATTTCGCTGTTTGTTACAAAAGATATATGTGTTGCATAATCCAGTTGTGCTGGGACTATCCAGTGAGAGACTTGCCTAGTAATTGCTCCATTCCATGCTTTTTGGGTTGCGATGGCATTGGTAAAGTTTGTCACCTTCTCAATAAGCTTTTTCCTGGTTGCGAGACTGGAAGATTTTCCTGAAAGAAAAATGCCCAGATATTTGATAGCTTCGTTATATGGCTTGACTTGAATATTTTCCTCTTCAACCTTGAGTGTTTTTTGTCACTTTGGATTTGAGGGTTTGAGGTTTGTGATGAGATCTGTCTTCTTTTTGTTGCATTTGATGTGGTTAAGTTTCAGAAATGAGCAAAAGATATCTGTAGCTTTTTGTAGGTTATTGAGACTGGTGCTTGTGATTGCGGCATCGTCCATATAAGTCAAAATTCTTGCCTTTCCTAAAAGGTCTTTGGAAATTTTTGATACCATTGGGTCATAGAAGATTGTCCAGAGTAATGGAGCCAAGTTTCACCTTGGTCTATACCATTGTTAACTATGATGGGATCAGAAATTTTATAGTATATTATTATGCTTAAACTACGGTTGTGCAAGAGGTTGAGGATTAATGATGTAATTTGTGAAGGGATTTTGATACGCTTCAGAGCAGACTCCAAGCTTGAGAGGTTTACAGAGTCGAAAGCTTTAGAGATGTCGAAGGAGGCGAACCAATGTTCATTGTTGAGATTATTTGCAATTTCTAATTCAGAAGAGATGATGGCGAGAGGTTCCATGGTACTTTGATTTTTGAGTCCTGCGAAAGAGTTGTTTGATATGATATTGTTTTTAGAGATAATGTTTGATAATCTGTTATTTATTATTTTTGTAAAAATTTTTCTGCTGGTTTCAATAAGAGAGATGGGACGGGTATCCGTTAATTCATGAGACCATATTATTTTCTTAGGTAATAATGTGACGACCGACTGCTTCCAATGATTGGGTGGAATGCTGGAACTTAAAACTGAATTGAATAATCTCTTGATGTGTTTTTTTGCTTCGATACCTAGATTAATCCAAGCTTCATATGGAATTAGGCTTAAACCAGGAGACTTTTGTTTGGGAAGGGATAACAGAGTTTCATTGATTTCATCAAGTGTGATTTCTGCAGTGGTATCATGAAAAATGCTGTCAGGGAGAGAACTTTTGGGTGTATATTCACTTGACCAGGACGGGTTCAAATCAAATGGTTTGGGATCCAAAACTTTTTTGAAATGATTGGTAATAATCTCAATTAATTTATCTGGATCGTCGTGTAGCTGTTCACCATCAGAGAGAATGGAGAGGTCCAGAGAGTGTTTAAGATCTCCCAGGGCTTTTTTAATTGCTGCTTTGGGTTTCTTCCAGAAATTAAGGAAATTTTTTTCTATTCGATCTCTAATTTCATTAATGGCCAATTGTTTAGCCTTTTCCATTTTTTCCTTGAGAAGGATTTTCATAACCTTCCTGAGGGACTTAATGGATGGTGGACTGTTGGTAATGTTGTTGTGTATGGTGGTTGCTATTCGTGGGAGTTTACCTGGTGTGATATTTTTCCGTATTGCAACTAGAGCCCTTTTTATGGCTTTGATGTTGATGTCATATTGGGGGAAAACTTTACTAGGTGCCGATGGTGGTGTTTGTTTCTTTACTGGAATGTTATCTATCATAGCTCTTTTTATTATTAGATTCATTTCTTCCCAAGATAGGGAATTTGCTCCTGTGCACGCAAGTTCAATTGACTCCCTCATTGATTCGATTTGCTCTTTGGTTGCTTTGTTAAATTGGAAAGTTTTTGTTGTAAATGAAATACGGTCTGGCTTGTATTCAAACCAGTCCAAAACAATTGTAATCATCTTATGGTCAGTGGGAATGAATGTCTGGTCAGAAACTTTATAGCTAAGAATTTTGCTGGCCAAATTTGTTGATAACCAGATTTGGTTCAACCTAGAGGCGCTGGTGCCTGTAATGTGTGTATAGAGGTGTTCTTTGTTGACAACCTTAGCAATATCAATTAGATTTGTGAGATATCTATAGATTTGTTGTTTATGAGGGAAGGTGGGGGCATTTATAGAAGGTGTTTCTTTTGGATAGGAGTTGAAGTCTCCGGTGATTATTAAATGTTTGTTTTTATGTAAATTTATGAACTTTCTGAGGGATTGTGTGGCCACGGATCTGCTTGCTATATCATGGGGTAGATACATTGAGATAATGATAATGTCTGCCTTAGGTTTGAACTTGAGATGAACAGCACACCAAAATTCGTTTTCAGTATAGGTGTTGAAAATGTGGCAAGACACCTTTGTGATCAAAATAATACAGGTGCCGTTGCTGGCTGCTGAATTAGGTTTGCTGGAAATGATAACCTTGTTGTTTATTCTGTTAGGTAATGGATTGTATGTTGTGAATTTGGTTTCAGTGCAACAAAAGATTGCTCTTTCATTGCTAATGGATTTAATGATTTCATTGAGCTTTCCTTTTTGATTTAGCCCTTGAACGTTGAGTGTGGAAATTGTAAGAAGGTTTTTAATGCTTGAAGAGGGATTAATTTGTGAAGATTGTACAAAAGAGGGTAAAAAGTTGGGTACAGTTGACTTCAACATGATTAGAAAAGGCATGGAAGAAGAGTCAGTCCTGGGTTAGGCGACTCTTTTTCAATAATAAAGGTTGATGGAAGTTTATCAAAGTAGAAGTAGGTCCTGAGCAATTTTATGGCAGGTGCCAAATATTGGTCGTCCATTAATGGAAGTGTTATATTGATATCGATTTTGTTTAGCTGCTCCTGGGCTTCAGCCATTGAAGGCAAGATTGGAAGAACAGGTGAAATCCATTCTCGTGGGATTGCCCCTTGATATGTATCCTTAATTTTTTTAAGTGTTTGTGAGATAGTCGGCGAGTCTCTATGTAATTGATCATCTGTAATATTGAGTTGGGACTTAAGTTCCTCTACACTTTCGGGAATGTGAGGCCTTTCATCCTGAACCAGGTTTTCATTGATCCATTCTGCTCCTAGTGGCAACTTGAAGAAGAACTTCTGTTTAAGCGTTTGGATGAAGTTTTTGACTTCCTCTTGTGATTGAATTGGTAAAGAAATAGAATTGTTTTCGCTATACCAGTGGGCTGGTGGAAGTGGACGTTTAACTTGAATATAATCCATTGGAAGTCGCCTGACTGCAAAGTTGTTGGATCTAAGAAGGTCTACAACTGATCGAATAGCTTCAGGGTTATTTTCTACTGGAAAGTGGTGTGCGAGCTCAAAAGGTAAGTCCATGTATGATGATGGAAGTGTTGATTTTGGTGGAGGAAGATTAAAGTAAGAGTCTGGCAGTTTGGCAGGAACGAAATAATGGTCTCTCAATTTGCTGGTAAGTTCTCCAAGATTTCTCAGATCACTACGTTTGGTTAGGGGAAAGAGCATTTTGACTTCAGATTTGAGGTCAATAGGGTTGTCAGGGATTGGCGGTCTCTGAACGAAAAATGAGGCAGGAAGCTGGTCAAAGTTATAATATGCTCTGAGACTGCTTGCCACATCGGCTGTATTTCTGGGGGAGGTGATAGGAATGGCATATGGGAGCTTGATTTTGATTGAGGCCGGAATATGATCAGGCAAGGTGGGTAGCAATGGAAGTTTACTTTTGATGGCTTCTTCGCATTTAATTAAGAGGGTTTTGTAATCCAATTTTTCAGATGTGGGATCAATAAAGAAGTTGAAACCATATTCCAGAAGTTGAGCTATTTGCCAATGTTTGAAAGAGGCAAGGTCTGTGGACTTCAGAAAGGTAATGAATAAAGCTTTGTTAATGATTATTCTTATTTTTTTCCGGGTTGTTCTGTTGATGTAGCCAATATTATTGGCTTTTAGGTAATTATCATGGAAACCTTTTTCCAGTTTCTCGTATTCAATTTGATGTTGACCCTTTAGGGAGATTTCCTTGGCAAAGGTCCTGAAAAAGCTACGGTCTCTATATCCAATTTTTGTCATTATGGCTTTGGTTGTTGGTTTCATCTCGGAGGGGCCTTCCTCCCTGATTTTAAGGAGCCACTGAATAATGGCGTCGATATTTCTTTCGCATTTGTCAACTTCTCTATAAAGTTCAAGGATTTTGGAGTGTTCATCCAGAGGACTGATTTTCCTAATGTCTCCTTCAATTTTTGATGGTGTGTTGGATCTAGTAACAGTTTCAGTGTTGTTGACTTCATCTGCCCAGGACCCGATGACTGTGGCTGGAGCTGACTCAATTTGTGAAGAAACAGAGGCTAGTGTATTTTGCTCATCAATTTCCATTTCTGTGCTGTTATTAGGTGTTACAGATGTGAGGTGGCTAATTTGGTTAGATTTATGCATAATGCTTGATCCTGCATGAGGGCTGATTTGATCTGCATTGTTGTCAGGGGTAGCTGCATGTGGTGTTTCATTTGAACAATCATCCTGCATTTCATTGTCGTCGCTCATTACCTCATTAGGGGCTGGAGTGTTTGGAGGGGGTCTGGGTGTTTCAGTTATTTGCTTCAAGGAAAAAGTATTGTCCGTACTTGAGAAGAGAATGTCAAGTCTGTTCCAAGGCATGTGTAGTTTATAGTTTAGATGTTTTTTCATAATCTCTTTCATTAATTCAATTCTATCTTCATCAGTTATCTCAAATATATTTTGAAAGTCGAAAAAGGCATTGAGAAAGTCTGCTGGCATGGGATCCAAGTAGGAGATGTTGACAATGGTTATTGGTGTTGAGATTCTGGTTCTTTGGTATACTTCAAAAGAAGCAGTAATTACTTTAGGTGTTTCCGGACCTTCAGTAGTAGAACGCACTGGTGTAAGCCAAGATTGAGGAGTATTTCCGAGTTTTGGAAGTTTGTGGAAGGAGTTTGGAGGGGAGATGATAATTTTACATGTTTTAGTATTTTTGTAGATAATGACGGCCTCAGGTTTTTGAATATCAGTGATGAGGACATCCAGGAGAATGTGCTCATGGTTGTTAAACTGGCCCTTGGAGGAAGAAACTCCTCCAGGGTCTCTGACAGTTTTTTTTTGAGACAAAATTTTGTATTTCCTTATATAGTAATTTTTATTGAATTTAAAATTTTCAAGAAAGAGTTTTTTTTTTAATGGCACATTTCTTTTTTGTTTACTTGTACATCCTCTATTATATTTTGTAAGATTATTCTTGGTTTGGTTGTTGTTTCTCCTGAAGTACCTGATCAATTGTTTTCTTGTAGGATTTTGTTTGCTGTTATTACTGTATCCATTCTCTTCGTGATTATTTTAAATAGTATTCTTTTTCCTGTTTCTATTAGTACTGTTAGCAGGAGAAATGGTGGGATGGGTTAGGATCGGCGCGGTCACGTGATATGGCGCGATACATCAGTTCATGCAT